GCGAACTCGTGTCCAGCAAAACGGGTGTCCCGTCATTGACGACGGATTCGCTCGTTTCGCTGCCATTAACTGAAGTGCTTTCAATCAATTGAGACAATTGTGTGACATAACGACTCACGGGTTTGGCACCGGATTTATGGTGTTTGTGCGGCGAAGACTTCGCGCCGCTGGAACCGCTCGAGTCGTGTCCTCTGGTGGTCGCTGTTGTCCTCCACTGACCGGACGTCTTGTTTGACAGACTCTGTTGGCGGCAACTCTTGGACTGGCGGTCATCGGTGGTCGAAGCGAAGCCATCGCCGGCGGCCCAGCCCTCGGCCGACCACTCGGAAGCCGTCGCCAGTCTTATCCCGAGTCGGCTTAAGTCGGCTTTGGATCGAGAGCTGGTCTTTCGGGTCATCTTTGGCTCATTTCTGGGCATTTCTTGCGATGGATTTAATGTGAATATCGTATTAAAAGTCGACTGAAATTTTTGAATCAAAACACTTTTCATTTAAACCATTCATTCATCAAAAATGTCGATAATTTTACACTTATTTGTATTGAAATAACATTTGAACTAAAGTTAGGGTTGAGTTCATTGCGGACGTCATTATTGAATGCATTTCTTCGCTAATTATTACAGTCTATACGAATGCGTGACTGTTTTGGTACTATTTATGCTTACATTCAATACATTGATTACAATAGCATTTATATCCTATTAAAAGGGCTCTAATTGACGGCATTATTGTATAGAAATACATGCAATACTTGTCGTGCAATCAGTAGTGAAATCGCAATCAAAACAAACATTGATTTGCATTTCATTTCACTTTTTATTTATTTATATTTATTGTAATTATAATTAAATGTAAATTTAGTTATAAATAACGAAATGCCATAACATTTAGTCCACAATAAAAGTGATCAAAAAAGTAATGCAAAAATGTTTCCGTCGTTTACACTAATAATTAGCGCAATATTTACCGGTATTTGACTTTTTGTATACATTTTGTGTGAATTGTAATTACAATTAACTAATTATATTGTCTTTTCGTTTGCCATTCATTGATAGTCTATATCTTTCACTCAATTCATACCATTTATAAGTTATATAATCCGGAAGAATGCGACCCAAAGACCGATTTGTGTCTCAACCCATCGTTTACTCGCAAAGACATCTTCACGGTATGTATGGGTTGTGACCAACCATTGCAGTAGTCATTAAAGCTATCGTTTGTTTGGATCCGTTGACAGCTATACCTCTGCACATCGCCCGATGAGCACCCGTTGGCCCACTCTTTGTCATGTATTTATGAAAACAATCGCTTCTCACTCATCGAAGACTACAAACTGTACGTGAATTGCATTAATACTTACGATCATTAGTTTGGATGTACTTATTGTCTGATAATGTGGTGATTTAGGTCACTGTCGGTGTCACTGCCGCCGCAAACATTGCGCAACGGTTCCCTATATATGCACGCAGTGTTGACTTCGCTGAAGAATTTCAAAGAAATTAATAAAGAAGTACTTCTGCACAGAAGCACATTCACTGCCGTCACTCCTCTCACCAGATATGCCTTAAAGGAGACAAAAGCATTCAATTTGCTTAACACTCAAACCGACCAACAAATCGAAAAGCCGTCGAAGAATAAGAAGAGTTCACACAACCGTCCGGTCACTCATTGGAAACCAAAGATCACTTTGAATATCATTTCAGAACCACTTTCGCTGTCGAGGAAAGCACTTCCCGCCGAAATCGCTCATCTCTTTAAGTAAATTTTGAATTCACTTTTAATTTATTGTTATTTTAAGCAAACTTTACTTTGATTTACAGATTGAATGAAAGGACACAATATTTACCGATTGTATATATAAGTGAAGTCAGACAACGCCTTAAAGACTTATGGGTTTATAATAATTATTTGAGACATTTATTTGTTAATATAATTATGTGATTGTTTTTTATGGTACTAATAGCCAGTGAATGAGACCAATCCAATGCCATTGGAAGTGGTCTATGAGCCGACGTCTATCGGAAAACTTAGATTTATGCTTATAATCGAGGGATCGCTTAAATCGATGACTAAAATGGGTTTCACTGAATCCGATTCCGACGACATTAAAGGCATTTTCTTTGACACTAATATATATCTACTGCTCGTCACTATATTTGTCACTTCATTTCACGTGAGACCCGATTTTAATCGTTAAATTAAAATTTTGATGAAATGTTTTATTTGAAAACAGGTTTTGTTTGATTTTCTCGCCTTTAAGAACGACATTCAGTTCTGGAGAAAACGAAAGTCAATGGAAGGCCTTTCGTTCAGTTCACTCCTCTGGAGATGTGTTTCGCAATTTGTGATAACTTTATACCTTTTGGATAACAAGA